CGCGGGGGCGGGGGAGAGCCGGGTGGGTGGTGGGACCGCCGCGTGTGTTGGTTCCTGGTTATGCAACGCCCTTTGGGCTTCGCTGTCGTATGTTTTAATCCTAAACTGTGACACATTCGTTAACATACCGCATCGCGAGACGACATAACGTGCGCGATACTGCACACACGCAGGCTACGCTACGTCTGTGAGGCATTCGACATCACTCATTCATGCCTCTTGAGAATTCCATCACCAAGGCCCCTACAGAAAGAAGATCCTGTGGGGTTAGGACAGGGTTGTCCGTCTGGGAACTGCATCCCAGTTACCAGAATTTCCAAGAGTGCTCAGACACCTCCGAGCACAGCGTCTGTTTCTTGCTTAGCACCTTAGTCCTAGTATGATTTCGTCTTCTTTTCCTCCATATGCAACATCTCATGTACTTATATCTTAATACTACACTTTGCTGTGTTAAATTTATAAGCCTGTTAGGGGTAGCAGTGATTTTGTATCCCCAGGGCCATACTAGCAATCAACAAGAGCCAAATATGTGAGAATATTCAATGATGATTGTGCTGTAATGTCAACTCGATACAGGTTAGAGGCACTTGAGAGGAAGGAGCCCCAACTGAGAAAATGCCTCTGTAAGACTGGGCTGTAGGCAAGCCTGTAGAGCATTATCTTACTTAGTAATTGATGTGGAGGTGTACAGCCCATCGTGGGTGGTGCCACCCCCAGTCTGGTGGTCCTGGGTTCTATAAGAAGGCAGGCATGGAAAGCAAGCCAATAAGCAGCACCTTTCCATGGGATTTTCATCAGCCCCACGCCTCCAGGTTATTTCTCTTTTGAGTTCCTGTCCTGACTTCTTGCAGTGATGGAGTACAATGTGGAATTGTAAGCCAAATAACCCTTTGCTCCTCCCCAACTTGCTTGTGGTCACTGTAGGGAAAAAGGGCCAGCCAAGGAAGCACACTTTGGCTGTACAACCAGAGCCAAAGAAATACATTTTGGCCCTAGAATCAGAGACAGTAAAAAAAATATGCCCTGGCCTTGAAATCAGAGCCCAAAGGCTAAAAAGGGCCAGCGGGAAAACACACACACACACACACACACACACACACACACACACACACACACACACTTACTTTTTGGCCCTGAAACCAGAGCCAAATCTGCTCCTGACGAACTAAGCAGAAAACCAACCAATCTCTGAACACAAGATCTAGCCAATCTTAGCTTAGGGACTGAAATCTGACCAATTCCCACGCTAGAAATCTTCTCCTGGTAAAACACTCCTAAGATAAGAAGCCCTATATAAATCCTGTGCCTGTTCAGTTTGTTGCTGTCTTCTTCAACCCTGGCAGAGGCAGCCACTCCCCTGGATTCCTCCCTCCCGATAAATCTCTTGAATGAGGTTTGGGTGGTGACCTAGGGAAGCAGAGTTGTTACACTCTGGGGAGCAGAACTGTAACACCTTTCACTGGGGAAGCCCTCCCCTACCTGAGCAGAGTTGTTACACTGGGGAAGCCTTTCTCTGGAGCTGGGGAAACTCTCTTCTGTCCTAGCAGAGTGGTTACACTGGGGAAGCCATTCCCTGGAGCAGGGCTGTAAGCTGCTATGCTTACTGTGACCTGCCGTATTCTCTGGCTGAGTGCCAGAATACTTTTCCATCCGAGCTGTAACTCTTACTTATAGTCATGGTGTTTCATCACAGCAATAGTAACTCTAACTAGGAAAATGATGCCCGGAATCAACTCTGGGAGACTGAATAGGCATAACTTTTGCCCTTAAGAAACTAGTAATCTGCTTCAAGGAAAAGTCTTCCATGAAACATTTGAAAACCTATTTCAGACTGTTAGCATTTAGGCATTTGTGCTGACCTGCCTTTGGAGTTCTGACAGGATATGCCCTCAGCTGCAGCCACTAAGAGCACCACCTGTGCCTATTCACTATGTTCTCTTTTAAAAGGGCCCTGCCCACCTCCCATCTCTCTCTCTCTCTCTGTCTGTTTCCCCACCTCTCTTTCCTCTCTCCTGCTGTTTCTGTCCCCAGAGGCTGGCCTCCCCACCCCCTTCCCCGAACCTTTTATGATTCCTTTCCCCTAATTAAAAAAAAAACCCTCCACTTGAACTCTGTTGTATAGCATCTTTCATTTGTGTGCTGCTTTTTAAAATTACAACAAAGACCATCACTCTCAGCAGGGAAACTCAGCTCAATATCACCAGCTGTGTGACCTGAGGCACTCCCCTCAGAGCCTCAGAGGGCTTCACTTGAGTATAGGCCTGATTCTTAAACTATACTGCAAGAAAAGAATTTCATAATAGTCAGAGTGTAACAAAGTTAGTTTATTTATGGGAAACAAGTGTGGCTACTAAGAGATGAAGGCACCTGATAGCTTCTGCAGCAGCTAGCTGTGTGCGTGATTTGGAGAGTTTGTCATTACTTTGTTAAAGGATGTGTCTGTGGTCATATATTACTTATGACTTAATAAAGTTTGCCTGAGGGTTCAGAATGTAAAGCTAGCCACAAGTCATAGAGCCAGGCAGTGGTGATATACACCTTTAATTCCAGCAGCCATATCAGCTAGCTAGCCATAGAGCCAGGCAGTGGTAGCACACACCTTTAAACTCAGGACTCAAGAGACAGGCAGATGGATCTCTGTTAGTTCAAGGTCACACTGAGCTACATGAAATTGGTCCAGGCCCAAAGAGAAACAGCTCACACAAAGGTCATCTCAGCACTTGAGATCACAGGCCTTTAATCCCAGCACTTGAGGTATATAAGATAGGAGAAGATACTCAATCTGGAGCTTTTTGGTCTCCAGCCATGTTTGAGAATTAGTCTCCAGCCACTTTGAGGACAGCATAGTAGTTTGGGGTTGCAGTCTGAGGTTTAGTGGAGAGCATCACACTCTGAGGATTCATGGAGACAGGGTCATCCATTTTGGTCTGAGGTAGAGGTGAGAGCTAGTGGCCGGCTGCTTTGCTTATCTGATCTTCAGCTTGAAGCTTGACCCCAAAAGCGATCTCTGGGTTTTCATTTTTCATGTTACATGTGCTCTATAAGGCTGAGAGAAAAATGTGTGGTTATATTGTTTTTCTTATGGAAAGATGCTTTATATATAGATGAAAATTTAAGATGGTGTATGAGTGTACTAGCAGGCTTACATATGAGAAAGAAACATGATTAAGACAAGATCATGGATCCTTCCAG